CACTTGAAGGCCTGAAGAGGGATTGATATCAGCGGTTCTCTATGAACTATGCAGCTATCTCCTCCTTGCAGAGTCCTTCGTATTTTTGTTGTTGTTTATTTAATGACACTGACAGTATCTCAGACTAGGCCTTCACATAATCTTATTATTATTTATGATTGGGAATAATTAGGAAGAACGTGAAGGAGACGACCGTGGTCTGATTTAAGGTACTCTCCTGGAATTTACCTTAAGGAAACGAGGAAATCCACGAAGAAACTCAACGTAGTTGTTCATCCGTCCGAGATTCGAATCGGGCACCTTCCAAGCAAGTCAGAAGCATTAAACGCTTGAGCCAAATTGCTGGGCGAGTCTTTCTTGAGAAACTAATAGTCATTCAACTATTTAATACATTCGCTTTTTTTTTTTATTCTGTAGCCTAAGGTTTAGTACTACGTTCGCTGGAACCAGCAACTGTTTATATAGGGGAGGCGGACAAAATGATTGAAAAACGAAGATATTGAGGAACAGAATTTATTTGCGTTGGCTACATTGGAAGAATTTCAGTTGACGACACTCAATATTCTTCCGTTTTTTTACATTTTATAATGCTCGTGGCAGTACATTAGGGATTGTATTGACTGATAGTCCATGTGAAAGCATTAGAAAATGGGAGACTTGTCCGGTTTTGAAAGAGGACACATCGTTATTGCGCGTTTAGCTGGAGCATCTGTGGCAGAAACTGCAACATTGTGAGGTGTACCGAGAGCATCAGTTTCTCAGGTGATGTCGGCATACAAGAATCAGGGGAAGACGTCATCAGCGAAGAGGAACAGTGGGCGAAAATCAGCAGTGACAGAAAGAGATCGTCGTACATTGAGGACTGTTTCGAAAAAATCACAGAACTACTGCAGCGCAGGTGACAGCAAAACTGAATATTCATCTTGAAGACCCTGTTTCCACAAAGACTATCCGACGTGAGCTTCACAAATCCAACACAATTCCACAGTAGGGCTGCAATTGCTAAACGGTTGATTACTTAAAGTAATGCCCATATGCGCAAACGATGATGTCACGACCATAAAACCTGGACATCAGACAACTGGAAACGCGTGATATTGTCAGGTGAGCCGTCCTTCACGCTGTTCCTTACATCAGGAAGAGTTTACGTTTGGAGAACACGCAAGGAAGCCTACAATTCGAAATTCATGGTGAAACACAGAGGAAGTTCTCTGAGGGTTCGGGCAGCAAAATCGTGGTACAGACTTCCGTTGGTCCCATTAGTACACTTCATGG